TACGTACTGTACAAGGGAGGGTTTCGCGCCAACCGCCAAGATAAAATAACCGGAAATTTAGAATAATGAATTTTTCAAGATTTATTGTGGATCACATATAAAGAAGTTGGTGAGATAATTCTACGCAAATAAAAATAAAAGAGTACGTAATACGAAAAAAAAACCAAAGTTAGTTGTATTGATTGTTTATATAAAACCAGTTTGAGTATTTTTATTGAGATATTCCTCGTATTTAATAATACTTTCGTAATAGAATTGTGATGCGGCCAACATTTAAAAAGAAAATTAGTAAAGATCATCATAACAGATGTTTATTGTTTGTACATACGAATTGAAGGTGGGGTTGATATTTTTGTGGGGAAGATTTGTCGTACAAAACAATTTGGTACGTCCAAATACAATAATGATTTTTGACTATCAGAGTCAACATCACCACATGAAAATGTAACTAAAGGCTTTTTGCGTTTATACACTAAGTTAAATATAACTAATAGACCATCTCAATCCCTTCAGGCGAAGAACTTTAATGGGTTGGCAGCTTTTTCCTTAAACCTGTTTACCCCACAATTGGTCATGTGATGAAAAAAACATAAAATAAGCGTAAACAAACGTGGGAAGCACATCAACATCCAAGTTAAATAATATTTAAATTGAAGGGTGAACGTAACTCACGTAAGCGGATGCAAAAGGTAAGGTGGAGACAACACAGGTTATTGGGAACACTGGATTATTTCAAGATCTACGAAAATCGTGAAATATCCGGCGTAGAAAGCTGTAAAGTAACGCCATTTGTACTTTATTTTCTTTTTCAGATCTTAACAAGATTTTGTAGATTTTCCTTTAAGCGTATAAACTTCGTTCTGTCATTAATAAATATTAAAAATTAGATTATCTAAAAACCTAATAAACTTGCGATAACTTGCAAGATTTATTTTTAAAGTAATTATGGTAAGTTATAGTTAACAATTTTATATATTTTTCATATGTTAAAGTTGTTAAAATAGAAAGTGGCTTAGTAGTACAAGTCTCATCAATTTTATGAATTTGATGATGATTATATTTCATTTGCAATTCATTTACGCTTAGCGTTAATATGTTAATATCTACACTATTCCTTTATTTCATATCATATTCTACATATGATCTCTCGTCAAGTTAATATCCTTTGTGAAATTTTTTTTTTTTGGAAAATTGGCGCAAACGTATCATTTATATATCGTAAATTGGCGTTACATTCATCACACCCTCCCTGTGTGATTATATCGGAATATATACTTTTTATCCTTGAACACGTATCATTCTATTTTTGTGTTTTGTG